TGATGCACATGTTGCATTAGCAATTACTAAACGTTGATGCACATGTTGCATTAGCAATTACTAAACGTTGATGCACATGTTGCATTAGCATTTACTAAACGTTGATGCACATGTTGCATTAGCAATTACTAAACGTTGATGCACATGTTGCATTAGCATTTACTAAACGTTGATGCACATGTTGCATTAGCAATTACTAAACGTTGATGCACATGTTGCATTAGCAATTACTGAACGTTGATGCACATGTTGCATTAGCAATTACTGAACGTTGATGCACATGTTGCATTAGCATTTACTGAACGTTGATGCACATGTTGCATTAGCATTTACTAAACGTTGATGCACATGTTGCATTAGCATTTACTAAACGTTGATGCACATGTTGCATTAGCAATTACTGAACGTTGATGCACATGTTGCATTAGCATTTACTAAACGTTGATGCACATGTTGCATTAGCAATTACTAAACGTTGATGCACATGTTGCATTAGCAATTACTAAACGTTGATGCACATGTTGCATTAGCATTTACTAAACGTTGATGCACATGTTGCATTAGCATTTACTAAACGTTGATGCACATGTTGCATTAGCATTTACTAAACGTTGATGCACATGTTGCATTAGCATTTACTAAACGTTGATGCACATGTTGCATTAGCATTTACTAAACGTTGATGCACATGTTGCATTAGCATTTACTAAACGTTGATGCACATGTTGCATTAGCATTTACTAAACGTTGATGCACATGTTGCATTAGCAATTACTAAACGTTGATGCACATGTTGCATTAGCATTTACTAAACGTTGATGCACATGTTGCATTAGCAATTACTGAACGTTGATGCACATGTTGCATTAGCATTTACTAAACGTTGATGCACATGTTGCATTAGCATTTACTAAACGTTGATGCACATGTTGCATTAGCATTTACTAAACGTTGATGCACATGTTGCATTAGCATTTACTAAACGTTGATGCACATGTTGCATTAGCATTTACTAAACGTTGATGCACATGTTGCATTAGCATTTACTAAACGTTGATGCACATGTTGCATTAGCAATTACTGAACGTTGATGCACATGTTGCATTAGCAATTTACTGAACGTTGATGCACATGTTGCATTAGCATTTACTGAACGTTGATGCACATGTTGCATTAGCATATTACTGAACGTTGATGCACATGTTGCATTAGCATTTACTAAACGTTGATGCACATGTTGCATTAGCATTTACTAAACGTTGATGCACATGTTGCATTAGCATTTACTAAACGTTGATGCACATGTTGCATTAGCAATTACTGAACGTTGATGCACATGTTGCATTAGCAATTACTAAACGTTGATGCACATGTTGCATTAGCAATTACTAAACGTTGATGCACATGTTGCATTAGCAATTACTAAACGTTGATGCACATGTTGCATTAGCATTTACTAAACGTTGATGCACATGTTGCATTAGCAATTACTAAACGTTGATGCACATGTTGCATTAGCATTTACTGAACGTTGATGCACATGTTGCATTAGCAATTACTAAACGTTGATGCACATGTTGCATTAGCATTTACTAAACGTTGATGCACATGTTGCATTAGCAATTACTAAACGTTGATGCACATGTTGCATTAGCATTTACTAAACGTTGATGCACATGTTGCATTAGCAATTACTGAACGTTGATGCACATGTTGCATTAGCATTTACTAAACGTTGATGCACATGTTGCATTAGCAATTACTAAACGTTGATGCACATGTTGCATTAGCAATTACTAAACGTTGATGCACATGTTGCATTAGCAATTACTAAACGTTGATGCACATGTTGCATTAGCAATTACTGAACGTTGATGCACATGTTGCATTAGCATTTACTAAACGTTGATGCACATGTTGCATTAGCATTTACTAAACGTTGATGCACATGTTGCATTAGCAATTACTGAACGTTGATGCAAATGTTGCATTAGCATTTACTAAACGTTGATGCACATGTTGCATTAGCAATTACTAAACGTTGATGCACATGTTGCATTAGCAATTACTAAACGTTGATGCAAATGTTGCATTAGCAATTACTAAACGTTGATGCACATGTTGCATTAGCATTTACTAAACGTTGATGCACATGTTGCATTAGCATTTACTAAACGTTGATGCACATGTTGCATTAGCAATTACTAAACGTTGATGCACATGTTGCATTAGCATTTACTAAACGTTGATGCACATGTTGCATTAGCAATTACTGAACGTTGATGCAAATGTTGCATTAGCATTTACTAAACGTTGATGCACATGTTGCATTAGCATTTACTAAACGTTGATGCACATGTTGCATTAGCATTTACTAAACGTTGATGCACATGTTGCATTAGCAATTACTAAACGTTGATGCACATGTTGCATTAGCAATTACTGAACGTTGATGCACATGTTGCATTAGCAATTACTAAACGTTGATGCACATGTTGCATTAGCATTTACTGAACGTTGATGCACATGTTGCATTAGCATTTACTAAACGTTGATGCACATGTTGCATTAGCAATTACTAAACGTTGATGCACATGTTGCATTAGCATTTACTAAACGTTGATGCACATGTTGCATTAGCATTTAATAAACGTTGATGCAAATGTTGCATTAGCAATTACTAAACGTTGATGCAAATGTTGCATTAGCAATTACTAAACGTTGATGCACATGTTGCATTAGCATTTACTGAACGTTGATGCACATGTTGCATTAGCAATTACTAAACGTTGATGCACATGTTGCATTAGCATTTACTAAACGTTGATGCACATGTTGCATTAGCAATTACTAAACGTTGATGCACATGTTGCATTAGCATTTACTAAACGTTGATGCAAATGTTGCATTAGCAATTACTAAACGTTGATGCACATGTTGCATTAGCATTTACTAAACGTTGATGCACATGTTGCATTAGCATTTACTAAACGTTGATGCACATGTTGCATTAGCAATTACTAAACGTTGATGCACATGTTGCATTAGCAATTACTAAACGTTGATGCACATGTTGCATTAGCATTTACTAAACGTTGATGCACATGTTGCATTAGCATTTACTAAACGTTGATGCACATGTTGCATTAGCATTTACTAAACGTTGATGCACATGTTGCATTAGCAATTACTAAACGTTGATGCACATGTTGCATTAGCAATTACTAAACGTTGATGCACATGTTGCATTAGCATTTACTAAACGTTGATGCACATGTTACATTAGCAATTACTAAACGTTGATGCACATGTTGCATTAGCAATTACTAAACGTTGATGCACATGTTGCATTAGCAATTACTAAACGTTGATGCACATGTTGCATTAGCAATTACTAAACGTTGATGCACATGTTGCATTAGCATTTACTAAACGTTGATGCACATGTTACATTAGCATTTACTAAAAGGCGAAGAATTTGATAGAATGTCATATAAAGCTTAAAAAGGAGCGGAGCGATTGTAATCGCATTTATTCAGCGACCATCTTGTATTTATCTGCAGGTAAAATCCTATGCCATATATCTGCAGATGATATATACAGATATATTTGTATGAGCAGATAATATTATCGCCATCTTTCGATACGTGTCGGTGCTTACATATACTAAACGATATAATATGTATTATCTGCGCAGTGTATGGTTAGTTCATTACATTTCATACAGCGATATAGAAAGATATGCGCTCAGATACAGATATCTTATTGTATTTGCGTAGTGTGACTCGCTTTATAATGGGGATGATATTCAATAACTACGTTCTCATTAAAATCTATTCAGGAATGTTTAAACTTGCAACATGTTACCAAATGGGAAGTGAGTAGTGAGGTCAGATCGAATTGCTCTTAACCCATTCACTTAATTTTATATTACGGGCTAAATAAGGAAGAATAAGAAGAAGAGATGAGGAAAAAATGAAGAAGAGAAATAAAATGGTTTAATAATTATAGTTGAAAAATTCGAAACTTTATTATAGTTTTCAATTTTGAATTAAATTATTTTTCAGTTGTATTCAGTATGTTATTGTTATATCTTATTAAGCTTCTCTAACGGATTACAACTGATGCTGCAAAAGTATTGCTATAAACTGTGATCCGAACACGGAATCCAATTCGAAAGATGCTTTGAATCTGCAATAAGTACGTCAGTTCTACTCCCTAAAACCAAATTCCTTTTATGAATACTCAACTAGAGTTTACAGCGCAAAGGTAAATGTTAATGTTTTCTATCTTAATTCTAAATATATGCTTTTGAATAAGCCTCGAATGTAAGGTAACTATGTAGATATTTAAACCTAAAAAAATAAATGACAAAACAGAGAGTAAAAATGTACAATAAATTCGTTTAGTTTATAGCTTTCATATACTAAAAATTACGTCTACTTATATAGTAAAAATCTTATGGTATGCAAAACAAAGTAAAATTGTAAAAAATGCATAAATGTATATTATAATAAGAATTTTAACCTAAAAATTGGCACATCGATGCGTATTCGACGAAGTCAATTAATTTTCTATTAGCAGTCACACTTCACACCCGAACATATTTCAGTAAAGTTGTACTCAATTATATGCGCCCATGATCGATTACAACTAGAATAAGACCGAAAATCATCAAAATTATATTTGTATACGACAAATCGTGTTACAATGGTCCAATTAAATCAATTATATACCTATGCATAATTTTTACCCGAACGACTGAGTGTAAAGTCGTAGTAAAAGCTTAAAATTATCACAGTCCTCAGTCGGTGTTTGCACTGATGAACAAAACCGACTAAAGTGAGACCAGATGAGCGACGAATGTTAAAGTCAATTCGGATATATATTTGTATATAACGAACTCGGTCGTGTTTGAATGAAATTATGAATTATTACGAAATACTATTTTAAAGGAAAGTCAACGATACTGCTAAAGTCACAAGTATCAATATTGAATGCTAAACTTTTTGAGCTTGTACCTTTCCGAGCGCTTCTTGGGCCCTTTTCTTCTTTTGTCTAGTTATTAACGGCATGAAAAGCCATAAAGACGCACCGGCGATAAAAATGAATCCGAACGTAACGAACATATTGACGAAATTCTTGTCGTATTCAAACCACAGACCACATATTGGCGGACCGATTAATTGAAGAATACCGTTCACGAACAAACTGATACCGTACGTCGACATTAGCCGGTCGACGCCCAAAATCTCGGCCATGACTAAAGTGGTAACGCTGTTATTGATCCCGGACGCGAGACCGAACAGAGCGCAAACCACGCTTATCGTCGTATACGACTCCAGAAACGGTATGATCGTTAAAGTGACCCCGGAGAAAAACAATCCACCGACGAAATAAAAAGATTTCGGCATGAAATTGAGGTCGCAAAGCGCCGAACCGCCGATACGTCCGACCAGATCGAGAGCCGAGACCGTACTGAGCAGTAAAGCGCCTCGCGACTTATCGAAACCGATGTTCTGAGCGTACGAGGGTAGTAAGATAATGAAGTTTGTACACGATATCGCAACTGTACTACTCGACACCAGGATTACTAAATAAGTGGGATCGGTTAGGAGCGATACATCGAAGAATTTGTTCGGCTCGCTTTTCCGTTTGCGCTTGCAACAGAAGCAGCAGTAAGCGACATCGGCGGCACTCTCTGTGATAGATTTAAGAGAGAATTGAGAAGCGAATTCATTCGGTTGATTAAACGCGGAAAGGGTCGAGCCGTGGAATGGTGTGGAAACATACGCGAAGCTAGACGTGGACAGGTTTCTTTTAGGGCCCGCTGTGCTTAATCGTCTGCCGAATCCCTCCTGGGATCCAAGCCGCTTGTCAACGCCCTCTAGCGCTATTGAAGCGGAACTAAAGTTCGCCTTCGACATCGGTCTTGTGTAGGAGAGCTTTCGTTTCGACAGATTTTGTCTCAAGTTCTGTGTAGAGTTCACGCAATTTTGACTGTTATGTACTTGGGCTTGTGATATGTTTCGATCCGAGATTTCCTTGCTCAGTTTCTCGTGTTCAGCTAAGCCGTTAGGTTTATCGGCGTTAATGGGCTGTGAGGCCATATTGTAGACTTCAATTGGCTCCTCTTCTTCGAACAAAATGTCCTGAAAAGATAATAAACATTCAGCAAAAATTCGTTACATTGTTGAACATGTTAGAGAAAATTTCCACAAGCATGCCACTATAGTAATCTACCCACATTGTTAAAATTAAAAAGTAAAGGCTTTGGGCAAAGCAATGCGTTGAAACGAGACAGATATATTCGTTTTTCCCTTGAAGATAAGCTCGCAAAGGATGTTTTGAGTTCTAAGATGATCAAAACACAATAGGACTTTAAAAGAAAAAAAATATTAAAATATAGTATTTTATACAATTTCGTCCATTATTTAGTTTAATTAGTCGGCCACGCTGCTTCTATATAATGTTATTTAATCAAATATTTCTTGTAAATATTACTAATTTCTCAGAAATTTTCGATCGGTAGTTAAAAAACGGTCGATATCATCATTAATAAATAACTACTTTTAATAACGTCTTAAAACGTGGTCGATTTTCTATTCTATAATTAAGGAAAAAAGATATTATCCTCGATATTAGAATCAGAATCTAAACGTGTTGTCACCCCTGATAACTAATATGAAATGTCTTCTCGATTCCAGTAAAAAGGGTCTCTTGTTCTCTACACTCACCATATGAGACGCAGCAGCATTAAGCTGCTATTTCACGCTGGTATTCTAAAAGAGCATGGTCGTTCCCCGGTCGAGCCGACCCATTCGTGCTACAACCATAATATAGCTGCAATATGACTACTTTATCGTTAGTTAAAAATATACAAATAATATAGTTATTTGACTATAGAAACTTAAACATCATTACATCATATTTTCATACATTGTCTTGACGAGTGTCGAATATCCAACTACAATCAAAAATTTGGTACTGGCGGGGACCGAAATAAGTTTTTGTTTTATATAATAAGGGGGACAAAACCTGCACACACTAACCATTAGTGAATACTGTGGCCCGTCCAAAACTACATCTATATCTTAGTGGACAAGAAACAAAATGCAGATATTTTGTCGCCCCTAAGGAAAGAGATGGAATGTCTCGTATCCAGTTAAAAGCATAGCATTAAGGTGTTATTTCACGCTGATATAAGGTTGCTAGTGTATAATGAAATTTAAAAGTCAGGCGTCATATGCCCTTTATCCACAAAAGTGTATAAGTTGATATGAGGAAAAAAGGTTAATATTTATTTATATACAACGTGGGGCTACAATGGCGACTTTAATTTAACACACATATACGTTTTCACATTTTCATTTCATTACGAAATTATATTTCCATTAAACGTTATTATTCACGGATTTAAAAATAATATAAATTTAAAATTTTAGAAAATAGCATGTTAGAGCAACCTGTACTTAAAGAACTGTCGCGCAGCGGTCATTTGCCGGGGTCACGGACATTTGCATCATCGAAATTAAAACGAATAAGCAATACTATTGAAGAAAAGAAGATTTGACGGCGAGCGGTCGGCGCAGGAGTAAAGTTGTTCAAAACGACTATAAATCAATAGCACGCTACAGACTATAAACTAGAAATTTCTAGCGCGCTATTAAATACGCTATGTTATAGCGCGCTATTTATAATAAAGTGTGTAGAGGCCGGCAAGCGCGTTAAGTTTAGCAGCACGCTATATCTCGGAGCACGCTACATACCGTCGAGGGACATTGTTTCGTAATAAGCCACATTTTAGATTAAAATAAAATAAAGTGGTAAAGAAAAATTAAAGAACGCTCTTTCATACTTTTCAGACTTTTTATAATCGTAAAAATATTTTTAAGGACTGTACTTTTTAAAACAAAATAAAATTAATCATTTTTTATTATAATTGATGTAAACGTTATTTTAACCTTTCTATAAATTATAAATCAAAGGTGTATTTAAAAGTTTATTAATTGTATATACAAAAATCAACTATTTACAAACACTATTATATACACTTTTGTATCTATATTTTATTTACATTTAAAAACATTAGTTAGGCTTCTTTTGTAGCAGACAACAGTGTCCTTTGATCACTTATAAATATACAGTATGCACTAACTAAATGATGTCTAACACTAAATTAGTTCGCGCGAGACGAATAGCGTGCTGCTAGATTAAATTTGCGTCACACGTCTACTCCCAACAGCGCTGCTGCTAGAACTAATTGCCGCTAGATATGAATAGCGCCAAAGCGTCATAGCGTCATAGCGCCATGGCGACTTATTACATAGCACGCGCTATGCGTTATGAAGAGATAGCGCGCTATAATATGACGCTATGCGCTATATTAACCACCATTACGCAGGAGACACCTGCTCCTCCCCCGCACCCCGCCGCACTGATTTCGACTTATTTTTATAGTACTAGCTGAACCCATATCCTTGACACACTTGTTCATAGCAGTGCGCATAATTAGGTCGACTAATATTTTGGTGAATAATTCCGCGAAAAAGACGCTTACCTATTGTTTTATTTATTAATTTTTGTGTAATTAGGTTATGGTATTGCGATAAAAACGCTTTTTTTCCAATCTAGTTGGTACATTTACGTCTCTTGCGATACGGACGCTTTTATTTGTGTTATTAGTGCTTGTGTAAACCTGTGATCGTGATGGCAAATACACATCCGAACTACACAGCAGCTGAATATGCGGACATGATCCTAATTTACGGAGAATGTCATCAAAAGCAATCATAAATTACCGGAGCAAGGTATCAACTCCCTGATCGACCGCCTACACGACAATACCCAATCCATTTAACTGAAAATGTGATACAACACTTCGAAGACCAACCCAAAACTAGCCTTCGCCAGAGTGCTAGGCATTTTCAAGTCCATCACAGAATCGTCCATAGGATATTAAAGCGCGAAAAGTGGCACCCATTCAAGTTTCGAAAAGTACATACTCTGCTATCGCGTGATAAAATAATAAGAGTTAATTATTGTCAGTGGTTACGGAGAAAAATTGAAGAGGACAGTGACTTTCTTTCCCAAATTTGTTGGACTGATGAAAACACGTTCACCAGAAACGGCATGTGGAACCAGCACAAACTGCACCACTGGGGACCCAAAAACCAAAATCCGCGCATTTGGCGGGAGTCAGCCCATCAGTACAGATTTTCAGTAAATTTTTGGGCAGCTATTCACGGTGACAACATCACCGGACCCGTATTCATTGATGGGGCTTTGAACGGCGAAAGGTTCGTGAAATCTATTAAATAATACGGTGTCAGAATACACAAACAACCTAAACGTTCATCGATGGTGTGGTGTGGTACCAATTAGATGGTGCACCTGCACACTCTGTAACAACAGCCAGGCAGTAGCTAAATGACACGTTTGGTGCAAAATGGATTGGTAGATTTGGACCTCGTAGGTGGCCAGCAAATACTTATATTTAGTAAGGTAATTTTTTGTTTAAGGCTGCCTAATAGGTTGCATTTTTACTCATTTACATTAGCCAAACTGATCATTTATACTTTTCTAGTTTCAAGTGAGAAACACTAAAAATGTAAAATATCAAGACCCAGTCGGAAAAGAATGTACAGAGTAGTGCAAGCACAGAGACCGCAAATAATGTCAGTCAATGTATTGTCCGAAAGCATGGGGTAAAAGTACATAATTAAGAAAAACTGAAATACTTCGGATGTGAAGTGATTGACCAGTCGGAGTAGTCTTGTGAGAATTTACATACACAGTACCTATCCCCACTATGGGGCAATCACCGACTTTTTAGTTTTTTTTCTTTATTATTTATGCAATTTGCATTACGGCATCTTGTAAGACTCACAAGAACAAACATTATCAGTTATATGAGATTCTTTACGTACGATGCACCAATTAAGAAAAAAAATCGTTATCAATTCAATAACTTTTCGACCAATATTTTATAACGAATAAAGTACAGAATTTATAATCTATTGGAACTAATATTATAAATAAGAAAAATTTATTTAAGAAGTAAGCAATGCTCTCTGTGTTGTTCATTACTCTGCATCTGAGCTAGTTCAATCAAATATAATCAAAGCCCGTACGGCTTTGATTATAGGTATTATACATGTCTATATAAACAAAGCGTAGGTACTGGCGGCGCGTGGTTTGCTGCGAAACTAGCAAGGTCATTCGCGTCGTATTCGGCCTTAATAAACAAGACACTTTGGGCAGTTGCCAGCCCGCTAAACGCTGCGTTGCCGCTTCGAGTTAACGTAAACCAGCTATAGTCCGTTAGCGTTAAGAAAATAGTGAGTCATCAGTGCAACTACAGGGTAAAGGTGTATTCACAGTGGAGTAAAATTTTATTTTTAAAACATTTAATTAAGTTTAATGGTAACAAATTTTCTTAAAATTCCTTAAATCACTAATCAGTATCGCTAGATTCTCCAGTTACATTAATTATGAAAGAATTTTGTTCTGCAAGTTCGATGATGTCATCCAAATTCCACATGGTATTTTTTTCGCGTATCACGTGGTCACAGCACTTCTTCCAACGATTAGCGTCTATTAATGCTATTGCGTCATCTAATAATTCTTTTGTGTCACTCATTATGAATGGAGTTCCCAAACCAATTCAATTGGATTAAGTTTGCAATGGTAAGGCAGTAGGCGAATAATTGTAATGCCATTACTTTTGGCAGTCTCATCTATTAAATATTTATTATATTGTGGGGCGATTTCGGCAACTTTCATTAATAATTATTTTTTAAATAAGTCATGTCCATGGATTTGCCTTTGCTTTGCAGCCAATCTACGAGTATTATTTGCTGCTTGTTCCAGCTGGTTGTTGGTATTTTTTCGACTCTTACCGAATTATAGGGACAAACGTTATCCATGACAACCACACTTCCTGGTTCTAGCTTAGGCATTATATTAATGAACCAATTAATGAACCAATTAAGTCGCATTTAAATCACACAGTTTAAAGTACTTATAAACATTGTAAATTACGCGTCTCTTTCCGCTATGGATTATTGATCCACTTTTATTCTTTCAAATAGGTAAGGTATTCATTTTCAAAATTTAATGTTGAACGAGTAACACGCAAAATATACAACCG